GACAGGATTGGAGATTCACTATTTTAGGAGTCACAATTAAGAAAAGGAGAGAGACAAAGACAGAGAGAGAGAAAGAGACAGAGAGAGATCAAACGAGAGAGTGAGAGTGAAGAGAGAAAGAGAGATTACGGAGTATTGCTATGGAGAGGGTAAGAAGAAAGTGAAAGCGAAATGAAGATAAAAAAGGAAACGGAGAGAAAGAGAGAGAGAGAGAGAGAGATACAGACATACGGAGTGACATAGAGGACTGGTGGGAGTAGGGCGAGGGAGAGGGAATGAAAAGAAAGAGAAAGCAAAATGAAAACAAAGAAGAAAATATATATATGAAAATAATAATGACAAAAATAACTAAATAAATACAAAGCAAAACCAGACAAACAAACAAATAAAAATGAAGTAAAACAATTTTGCTGATCTGATCAGGGACACGATTCTAAAAACATAAATAATAGGGGTCTAATAATATTCGGGATAAAAAAAAGAAGAAGGAAAATAGCTTTCTTTAAAAGCAAAATACATGTTTATTATTGACAAAACATCCCATTTTTACGCTGTGCCCCCCTTTTCAAGCCCCTCATGAAAAAGTAACCGCGTTCTTAAAGATAAACTCCAGTACTGGTAAAAAAAAAAAAAAAAATTCTCACAGAATCAAACGAAACTTACACTGAATGTTCAACATTACAAATAAATGACATGTGCCAAACAATTTTGGAAGAAAATGTATACTGGCTGAGTAATGAGCATAGAAAGACAAGGAAATCAAGGTAGTACTAGCCCCGACACCATGTGTGTTGTCCCATATATAGCTTTCTATGTGAGTGCTTGTTACTTTACCAAGACTCGGTCAAATTTATTATGATTTTGATGACTCCAGAACCTTGCAGTGCACACCAATACTTACATGCTACATGATCAACTGTTTCTGTAAAATACCCAATTGTCAGGGTTTCAGAACTTACATTGACTATAATAAAGATCTTGAATATCGTATTGTAAAAAGTAATTAAATTTTGATAAAACAGGGTCGAATTATGCTCACATATTGCACTGAGAAAAAAAAAAGAATAGAAGGTAAATGTGAAAAAGAATAGTTTGTGAAGAGGGAATCGAGAGGAGAATGGTGGAAAGAAAGAACTAAAAAGGTAAACAAAAAACAGGTGACACTATAAACTGTCATTTTGTATACATCATTATACCTCCTCAAATATTCTCTTTCTCTCTCTGTCTCTCTACCTGGCAGGAATTAATTCCTTGAAACGCTAGAGGGCCGTAACGGCAGCCATGCTAAGGCCAGGGTATGTATAATCCGGAGCGCGAGGAGCGTCAGATCTGACAGACATGAGCGCTATACAAGAACCCACTATCATTATTATTGTTATCTCTCTTTCTGACCTTACCTCCCTTTCTCAGTCTCCCTAACAAGCAATGTTAATACGAGTAAAGTAAAGATCATTACGTTTATTAACCCTGATCACTGGATGTTTACAAAATAGTTCACCACACCAGGTCCCCAGGAAAGAAACATCCACACATTTGAATATGTTTGTAGACCCGTCTATTGTATATAGACCATTCTCTCGCTCTTCCCAGGCACTATACTAGTCAGGGCGCGTTCATGCTTGATTTTGAAGGCAGAATGAGCGATTTGTAACGCTCATCGTAAACGCTCATCGTAATCGCAGTTCCACGGTGCACTGTTCATGCTCACTTCTCCAGGCAATTCTCCTTGGGTGGCCTTCAGCTGGATTCGCAAACCTGTGTGCGCATGCTACGTAGACCCACTAGAGGTCAGTGCGTTGACCCCATTTAAACGCGTTTACAAATTGTAAACGCATCTTTTTGTGAGTTTACGATTCACTCTGAACATCACGGACAAAGAAAGCGGACAAAACATACAGGGGGGCTCGAGGCAATATACAGTTCCTCAGGTAGACAAAGGAACATCCCTTCACTGCTATTATGTACAAAAGGTGAATATGCATGTGACACCTGTTCTATTATTAAATTATTATTAAATTACCGTCAGATGATCATCTAAGGGTCCGCCGAAGGGCCCTAAATGGAATCCAGGGGGCAAAGCCCCTGGAAGCTTAGGGGTTTTAGGCATTTAATCACGGTCAGATGAGCATATTTTGATGCCTCATTATTTTGTTAACACTGGCAGTTAACTATTCTTACTTTCTTGCTCTCATTCTATTTCATTTCTCTTTAAAATACTATTTCAAGAAAAGTGGGGGGGGGGGGGGGGGGGCTCGAGGAAATATACAGTTCCTCAGGTAGACAAAGGAACATCCCTTCACTGCTATTATGTACAAAAGGTGAATATGCATGTGACACCTGTTCTACACATTTTTACATAATAGCAGTGAAGGGATGCTCCTTTGTCTACCTGAGGAACTGTATATTTTGTCCGCTCTCTTTGGGCGCGTTCATGCTTGATTTTGACGGCCAGAATCAGGCATCTGTTACGCGTTTAGTTTAAAACACGATTGCGTTCATGCTCACTTTTGTAGAATCACCGAAAACGGCGATCACGATCGCCGATCGTAAACTCACAAAAAGATGCGTTTACAATTTGTAAACGCGTTTAAATGGGGTCAACGCACTGACCTCTAGTGGGTGTACGTAGCATGCGCACACAGGTTTGCGAATCCAAGCTGAAGGCCACCCAAGGAGAATTGCCTGGAGAAGTGACCATGAACAGTGCACCGTGGAACTGCGATTACGATGAGCGTTTACGATGAGCGTTACAAATCGCTCATTCTGCCTTCAAAATCAAGCATGAACGCGCCCCTAGTTAGTCATGTTCATAGTGATTGGCGATCGTGATCGCCGTTTTTCGGTGATTCTACAAAAGTGAGCATGAACGCAATCGTGTTTTAAACTAAACGCGTAACAGATGCCTGATTCTGGCATGAACGCGCCCTTAGTCTCTTTTGTCATCACTCGATCATCCGACGTGGGCGAATGACCCCGTGCCTGGTAATGTTATCCACATCGAGCAGTTTGTAAGCAGACGTTTTCCTGCAGTCCTGCAAAAGGAAATAAACAACTAGGCCTACGGTGACTATACAGCAAGTAAGTAGGGACTTTTAGATTTACACGTCGACATAGTGGACTGCTACGTGTCACACGTAGAAGTCCACTATGTCGACGTGCAAGTTTAAAACAGTCTTCTTCTTCTTCAATTGTCATACTGTTGAGTGCTAGTGCAGATGTATGTACAATAGGGAATGTTAGATTTACGTGGACTGCAACGTGTGGCATCCTTTTAAGGTGCTGGCAGTCACGTATGACTAACGCACTGGCAGTGCCCTTAAAGGACGTCACACGTAGCAGTCCATGTTATCGTCGTGCAAATCTAAAAGTCCCTAATGTCTGATAAAAGGTTATTACTACGAGCGAGTAAAAACGATTACCATTTCTAAACAGAGCTGGGTCTTTTGTACCTTGAACTGGACATCCGGGGGGGGGGGGGGAGTAGACAGCTAGGCAGCATTTCAGACAGGTTCTACAACTCACATTTATTGTTCATGGGAGAAAAAAAGTACATGGCCACTATAGACAAGTGGCCTTAAACTCAAGGTTTTAGTATATTTTCTTTACGGATCCTGGCTACGTACACGTACGGCAGAGAGCCGAGCCGATCAAAATGTCGTTTAAAACGTCCATGTTTATACATGTATTTGCTAAAGATGTGTCAACTAATGCATTGAACCGATATATCCTTCATTTACCCGAAACCAAGGTAGGTTATTGTGATGATTGAGGCGTATGATAGAAAAATGGTTCGAACCATTTTATCCCTAAGATTACTATGGTGATAGATCTATTGCGTGCTACAGCCTATAGGCATGCAGCTCTGTAGTCAATCATATTTGATGCATACATTATGTATGTCTTTCTTAAAGGTAAAGACCAGTATTGGAAACGCCCCAATTTCAAAAAATGAAATGGAAGCTCTCATTACCAATCATGTGAAAGAATATGTTTTGACTAATACATGATGATAAAAAAATTGCCGGGAAACCGCCTACTAATTCATATATTTGGTAAATTTGTTTCTCTCATGGTCTGTGATAGATATAGGGTAGTCCCATATACATCTTTCTGTGTATAGTGCTTGTAACTTTACGAAGAATGGGCCTAATTTCTTATCATTTTGATGATTCCAGAACCTTGCAGGTGCTAGATGCTAGATGATCAACCTTTTCTGATCGATTCCACAACGTTTTTTTCACAATGCAATCGCATGACCATAACTGGTCTTTACCTTTAATGCCTGTTTATAATCCATTCGTTTGCATTGACTTGTTGCCGTCGTTATGAAGGTAAAAGGCCGACCTAAAATGTATAATAATAATAAAAATAATAATAATAATAATAATAATAATAATAATAATAATAATAATAACAACGTTTTATTTACCCAGGGTAGCCACTTCAGTTATGAAACTGCTCTTCCAGCGGGCCCTGCATAACATAATATGTTATTACTACCCTTCTCCAATCTAATATGCTGAGCGCCTAGCTAGAAGGCAGAAGGTCCCATATCATAAGTCTTTGGTATGACTCGGCCGGGGATCGAACCCACGGCCTCCCGTTCATGAGGCGGGCGCTCTAACCACTGAGCCTACCATGCCCGGTGTATGTCGAGAGCCCCCCCCCCTATACACATATATAATATTTATATATGAAATTGAAATTGGTTTAAGGAGTAGAAATCTTTATGAATTATTTGTCAATTATTTTAATCATTATATCTTTATCCGAATAGATCTTCTTAATTAGAGAGAGAGAGAAAGAGAGGGGGAGAGAGAGAGAGAGGGGGGGGGGAGAGAGAGAGAGAGAGAGAGAGAAAGAGAGGGGGAGAGAGAGAGAGAGAGAAAGAAAGAATCGGAGAAAGAGGCCCGAATTCACAAAGGAGGTTTGTCGACAAACTTTCTTTAAGAATTCGGGCCATAGAGTCTATACATGGACAGTGAACAGTGTATGTATGTTCCTGTGAACCAGTATAATCAAAAAGTTACTCGTGAATCGTGAAGTTTATGCGACCTATATTTCAACTATGTATGTAATGCATACAATCTGAATTCTCACTATTGCCACCATACACTATAGGGAGAGGTGCATACGGGGGCCATCCCATTCAAACGCGTGTCAACTCTATCACGGATTTCTGCGGGATGTCTAACAACTTAGAATAGCTGGCTTATTTTTCTCCAAAGTCTGATCCTCGATTTCCTTATGAAATCATCGAAGTTGTTATTATTTTGTTGTTCAAGTAAATAGCTCTAGTTAATCACATAAAGCGGAATGGACGCATCTGATCAGACACCTCAACTCACCGTAGTCAAGCGGTGCAGCGACTGCTACGAAGTGGTCTGGGGTGATGGCTACACGGGTCGATACCCCTTTGTCTGGCTTCGAGATAACTGCCGATGTTCCGGCTGCTACTACCCGAGCTCCAAGCAAAGAAGTGTTTTGCTCTCCGATATCGACGTCGAGATGGAACCCGAGAGGGAGGAGCTAATAGTCGACGGACAAGAAATGAAGGTGTGTTTCTGTATTCACCATTTATGATTGCTTACCTCTTTAGACAGGCTTCCTGATATATTCAAAGTATTTTGCTTCTTTTTTTAAAACAAAGGTCGTTCTTAACAACCTGAAAGTTTACCCGAGGCTTGTCTGATACAGCAACACAAAGTGTATGCATACTGAATTATTAATAATAGTAGTTCATTCATTAGTAACATGTAAATGGATATCTCGTTCATGTCGTCATTCGGTTCCCAGGTAGGAAACGTAAGTGAACCCGTCTGAAATAGGCCGTTTTCGTAATACATGTATAACCAAATTTAATGCATACATCCTTGTAAACACCTGTCATGTTTAATTGCATCACGAAAGTAAGAATGCGAAGTGCATTCATTGGTAACTGACATGGCTTGCACTACCAAACAGCACATAGTATATGCAATTTGCATTCTGACTATTGAAAATTACTTATAACAATTGAATGAGATAATTCATACTGAAGCACTTCACTACAGACATGCATGAAATTATTTTACATTACAAAAATGGCCCAGTGAACAAAGGAAGGTACAACAGCAACTTAGTTCACCTTTATTATAAAGCAAACACAATGACACATTTTCTTCCATTTACAAAACTGCGTTGAATTAGTCTTTAGACTTTGGACTGGTAATATGTTAATACACACGTCGCACACCCAAACCGGATAATGCATGATAGGGTGACAAAAGTTCACAGAGATTTATGAAAATATTAGAAAATGTGATGTGATATTTACGGAAGCGTTAAAGTGCCATTCTACTTGACGACATGACGAGATATTCCATCTTGTCAAGTTGACTTAATATTCATATCATGTCGACATGTACAAATATTTAACTTACCATGTCGACTTATCAACTTTTATTAGTCGACATGGCGAAATAAATTATCTTGACAAGTCGACTTCACAAAAAGTTCATGTTGTCATGGCGACATAAGTTATCTTACCAAGTCGACTTCTAAAAAAATACATGTCGTCATGGCGAAATAAATCATCTTGCCAAGTCGACTTCACAAAAAAGTTCATCTCGTAATAGCGACATAAATTATCTCACCAAGTCGACTTCCCAAAAAGTATATGTCGTCATGGCGAGATATGTAGTGTGACGACTATTTCATGCAGCGCGCGTATGACGGGCGGATCGTGCCATAAAGATGACAACTATACAACTATACATCCATCGAATGGATGTAAGTTTTTAACCAATCAGAACGCAGGAAACTATACAACTATACGACTATGACGGGCGATCCAATATTATTTAGTACTAGTAGGCCTATAAGATCAATTTTTATTTTTATTTATTCCATCATTGCTATGCTATGTTCAGCATTCAATGGCTTTAGAGGCATAAGTGTCGGTTAAATTCAGACATTCTCGCCGCCATGGCTGTATAGTTTCCTGCATTATGATTGGTTAAAACCGTTACAGCCATAAAACTATACAGACATTCTCGCCGCCATGGCTGTTTAGTATCCTGCATTATGATTGGTTAAAACCGTACAGCCATAAAACTATACAGACATTCTCGCCACCATGGCTGTATAGTTTCCTGCATTGTGATTGGTTAAATCCGTACAACCATATAGAGCTTAATGGATGTATGGTTGTTCGCAATTATGGCATTTCGGCCCGCAAACGTAACAACCATACATGCGTTCTATAGCTGTATGGTTGCATAGTTGTATAGTTGTACAGTTTCCTGCGTTCTGATTGGTTAAAACCTTACATCCATTCGATGGATGTATAGTTGTATAGTTGTCATCTTTATGGCACGATCCGCCCGTCATACACGCGCTGCATGAAATAGTCGTCACACTACATATCTCGCCATGACGACATATACTTTTTGGGAAGTCGACTTGGTGAGATAATTTATGTCGCTATTACGAGATGAACTTTTTTGTGAAGTCGACTTGGCAAGATAATACATGTCGCCATGACGACATGAACTTTTTGTGAAGTCGACTTGGCAAGATGATTTATTTCGCCATGACGACATGTATTTTTTTAGAAGTCGACTTGGTAAGATAACTTATGTCGCCATGACAACATGAACTTTTTGTGAAGTCGACTTGGCAAGATAATTTATTTCGCCATGTCGACTAATAAAAGTTGATAAGTCGACATGGTAAGTTAAATATCTTTACATGTCGACATGATATGGATATTAAGTCGACTTGACAAGATGAAATATCTCGTCATGTCGTCAAGTAGAATGGCACTTTAACGTTTCCGTAGATATTTGATCTATGATTTCTCTTATTCTATAAAAATGTATTTATTCGAATATTAGCAAATGGACGTCAAGGTTTTTTTTATACTTCTAATTGGTTCAACTAGAAAATTATTCGTCAAAGGATTCCGGAAATATCGCGATCTAAAAATTAAATATCGGATTGGCGTTCGCGCTGCAACTGAAAATGGTCATAAAAACAACGAGACTTTTACGCCCACGGGGGTTTACAGCTCATTTATCAAAAAATGCGATCCATGAAACAAAATTTCATCATTTGCAAGGCAAGATATCATACAATCAGTTGGTACCACTTATATTGTTTAAATAGTCGACTCAGTTTCCTTATCATGTTTTGATCTGATTTATCAGGTCATAACTTAATTCAGGCGCGGATCCAGGATTTTCCAATAGGGGGGGGGGGGGGGGGGGGCGGAAATTTGAAAATTTGAAATTTGACCGTTTTTTCAAGGTCATATTAGAAGCACTATACCGGTAAATATTTTGACATTTTCATCGGGGGGGGGGGGGGGGGTGGGGGGCGAAAAGGTAATTTTCTGGTTTCACAATTCGCTCACAAGCAACAATTTGAGCATAATATGTATGTTGTGAAAGTGTTATTTATCACCAAAATAAACGAGAAAAGATAGCAAAAACTCATATTCGGGCAGCTCACTGTCCCCCCCCCCCCCATTACGCGCGAAGCGCGGAAGCTTTGATCTTTAATTCATTATTAGAGAAAGAAGATGATTTGTTGTACCATTCTCGACTCGTATTCCTTGCCGAAATCAGTTTTTCCCCTCCCGCGCAAAGCACAGAAACTTAACGTTTCATTGAATTATTAGAGAAAGAAGACTATTCGTTGTACCGTTCTCGACTCTTAATCCTTGTCTGAATTTAGTTTTCCCCCTCCCGCGCGAAGCGTGGAAGCTTTGACTTTTCATTAGATTATTAGAGAAAGAAGATGACTCGTTGTACCATTCTCGACTCTTAATCCTTGCCTGAATTCAGTTTCCTCCAGCCCGTGCGAAGCGCGGAAGCTTTGACCTTTCATTAATTATTGGAGAAAGAAGATTTGTTGTACCATTCTCGACTCTTATTGCTTGACTGAATTCTGAATTCAGCACCCCCCTCCCGCGCGAAGCACGGAAGCTTTGGCCTTTCATAGTTTAATGAAATTATTAGAGAAAGAAGATGTTTTTTAATTCCATTCTCGACTCTTACTCCTTGTCTGAATTCAGTTTCCCCCTCCTGCGCTTTGCGCGGAAGCTTAACGTTTCATTAAATTATTAGAGAAAGAAGATGATTCGTTGTACCGTCATCGACTCCTTATCCTTGTCTGACTTGAGTTCTGAATTCGTTTTACCCCCCCCCCTCCCGCGCGAAGCGCAGAAGCTTTGACGTTTCATTAAATTATTAGAGGAAGGAGACGATTCGTTGTACCGTTCTCGCCTCTTAATGCTTGTCTGAATTGAGTTCCCGCCCCCCCCCCCCCCCTCCCGCGCGAAGCGCAGAAGCTTTGACGTTTCATTACATTATAACGGAAAGGAGACGATTCTTTGTACCATTCTCGACTCTTAATCCTTGTCTGAATTCAGTTTTCCCCTGCCCGCGCGTAGCGCGTAAGCTTTGACGGTTCATTAAATTATTAGAGGAAGAAGACGAATCGTTTTACTATTCTAGTCTCTTGATCCTTGTTTGAATTCATTTTTTCCCCTCCCGAGCGATGCGCGGAAGCTTTGACATTTCATTAAATTAGTCCTCTTACTGCCCCTACCGCCCCTGGCTACGCGCCTGCTTTAAAGGGAAAATGAAACAATCATGATTCTGGTAGCACACAATTAGGTTAGTAGAAACGAAAGGGAAAAAAGATTACACCAAACATGGAGCGTCATAGTTTTGTGTTATTGGGCGAGGGCCGGGGCGTAGCGACCAAGCGAGATTTTGCAATGTTGAATGCTGAAATTATGCATTCTAGAAAATCCCTAAGCCCAATATGTACGTTCTTTCCGCTACATGTATATTTCTTTCTAGCTATATTTCTCAATTTCTTGGGGGACGTGTCCCCCTATCGGGCCCAGGATTACCGCCCCTGCCCATGATTACTACCAACATGAGTTCAAATACAAGCACAAGCGAGTTGGTATGAGCTGAATCCAAATGAAGGGCAAAATAAGAGTTGTGAAGCGGCTCTACCGTTAATTTAAAATTTGACTGTTGAGTATATAACTTCTATTTTATAAAAGACATCCAAAATATTGTGCCCTTTTCAAATTTCTCACTAAAGAGTGATGACCGCAGGGGCTGTTCTTAACGTTTAACTTTGAATCCGCGGCTCGAGATTTTATAGGGCCGGCCCGACCCCCCTCTATTCAATAACGTTTGCCAAGCCTTCTGGAATGACCCCAAATCTCCCGATTACAGCTCTCTTCTTTATCTTTTCTCTTCTCTTGTCTTTTCTCTTCTTTTTCCTTTCTCTTCTCCTTTCTTTTCTCTTCTCCTTTCTTTTCTCCTCTTCTCCTTTCTCTTTTTCTCTTCTTTTCTTCCTCTTTTTTTCCTTCCCTTTTTTGCGCCGCCAATAGGGGGGGGGGGGGCCGCGGCCGTTTCGGCCCCCCCCCCCCCTGGATCCGACACTGTTAATTCACGTTCGCCTTTCAAAACATTGAGGGAAAAAAAGATCACCAAAGGAACAAACACTGACCTACCCACGTGACCAAACAGTGGCATATCCAGATACCTGTTGAACAAGGGTGTGTGTGTGTGTGTGTGTGAGGGGGAGGAGGGGTGCCGCGCTTTAATGTTCCATACCCACGTGCCGCGTGTCGAAATACTGTCGACTGTCTCCCCTTGTTATTCAAATAAAGATGTGGGAAAGAAGAGGGGGGGGGGGGGTGTTACATCGACATCGGCCTCATTGATCCTATGGTAGGTATGTCCCCGCAAAATGTATATAAACGCATTCAGATATTTTGGAAACATCAAGGACGAAAATGCATGATCTTTAAAAGCCAATCACCATGGAGGTCAATTCACAATATTATTTTTTTCTTTCAAATTATTTTTTATCTCCAGATCTTCTGGCCCGATGATCACGTGAGCCCCTTCCCATCTCGATGGCTGTATCTCAATCGCTTTGACAAGACGAACTTTGACCCCGTGAGTCAACTCGTACCAAAGCCTTGGGGTTCGGAGCAGGTCAATGAACTACTACGGTTTGACTACAAAGAAGTAAGTCAACTCGGTTCAGTTCGGTTTGTTTTTCGTATTTCCCATCTCACGCTCAGCACTAATGGCATTTGACAAGGCATTAATCCACTGTTGCCACTCTCCACCCGGATGTAAGTACTTCGAAAATGCTAGGGTAATAACCAGAAGAACTGGAATGATTGGTTTTGCAATTATCATTGTTATTAGTATTACTAATAATTATTTTCCGTGTTTTTTTTTTGCTATCCTTTTTGTTCTCCTTCTCCTTCTTATCCTTCTTCACCTCCTCCTTCTTCTTCTTCTTCTTCTTCTCCTTCTTCTTCTCCTTCTTCTTCTTCTCCTTCTTCTCCTTCTTCTCCTTCTCCTTCTTCTTCTCCTTCTTCTTCTTCTTCTCCTTCTTGTTCTTCTTGTTCTTGTTCTTCTTCTTGTTCTTGTTCTTCTCCTTCTCCTTCTTCTCCTTCTTCTCCTTCTCCTTCTCATTCTCCTTCTCCTTCTTCTCCTTCTCCTTCTTCTCCTTCTCATTCTCCTTCTTCTCCTTCTTCTCCTATTTTTTTCTAGGTTATGGAAGACTCGAGGGTTCTCCGTGACTGGCTGAGGAGTCTAGTCGTCAGTGGCATTGCTCTGTTGACTGGAGCGCCAAAGGAGACTGGAGTAATTGAATCGATCGGCAAGCGTGTGGGTCACCTCCGGACGACGATGTATGGGTAGGTATGGGCTATTTCATCATTGCGAGGGGTCAGTGACACAAAGACGAAACTCCATTTTGGCCATTTTGAGAAAAAGGTGGTTTAAGTGTTACTGCCCACTTGGCCTTAAGGAGTAAAGTCTATGTTTCACTACCCATTGACAGTTGAATCTTAGTGTTTCCTGGAAAACCCATATTTTTCTGAACATTTTGATATCAAATACTCATTTTGGCAAAGTATGGAGTTACGTCTTTGTACACTGAACCCTCGATTTGAAGAAAAACAATAACTAATCAAAAGAAAACATTCCAATTGGAAGCAAGTATAGAAAAACAATCATTACACATGTCATTAGTTGTATCCATTTGTTGTAATTCCTTGACCAATGCTCATCTCAACAAGCTGAGTGGTCGCATAATTTCCCACTGGTAATCTTGGTCATGGGCAGATTAAGAAATGTTTACGAACCAACCTCCGTACCTTGAGGGACTCCAACACCTCCATATTACCCTCGTCTCACAGGCTGATCCCACAATAAAAGGTTCAGACTGGTAAAATTACGGCATATGTTTTCAGTGACGCACCACCCTTAAAAACTCGGAACCTTAGTCGCATCCATGACCATGGTTATGGTATTCAACACTGTTCAAATATTAGCAATGGAATATGCGTAGTAACCAGATATTTAGTATAACAAAACAGAAATTTGAGCCAAACTCATTTTGTTATGCTTTACTAGAAAAATTTCTGGCTAAAAATCCTGTGACTGACTGTACCCTAAAAAACAAATTTTGAGAATCGAACTTCTTCGCGAGCAGATGACCAGCATTCCAGCAAATTCCAAGAAACTTCACCGTGTCCAAGTATTAGAGTTCAATGAGAACAAAACACGTCCTGAAATGACATAGAGACAAGGTCATTTCTCGTTTATAATTACATGTATATATTTTTTTCTTTCAGCCACACCTTTGAAGTTCTTGCAATCGCGTCTTCAAGTAACCTGGCCTACACGACATTAAAGCTGGGCTTGCATGTGGATCTTCCGCTGTATGAAGTTCCTCCCTCCGTAAGTGAACCTCATTTCCATGGAGTACAGTGTTTGATAGGGACAACGTCGATTGATTCACGGGGAGTGAGGGAGTATGTTTAAAGAGCGTACAAAAGAAGCATGGATGGGTTTTAAAGGTTGCATGGTGGAAGAGCTAGAAATATATTTGTGTTTTATGGAAGCGCCGTAGAGGTTTTCCTTTAAACTTTTAAGGACTGTTTAATGTGTATCTGTTGGCAATAGTTCTTGAAATGAAGTGTTACAAAGGGAAAAAAGTGTCTCAACATTCCGAGCAGTGTACCCAAACCTGATGACGATCAGAGGACGCTGTTCGAAACGCTCAGCCTTTCTTTCCTATAATAGTTCTCTTTAGAACTCTTGCCGAAAGACACACAACAGTTCGTCTAATTATTAAGACTAATGATACGGTCACAAAGGTTCGTATGAACGATAATTTCGTACGAATCTCCCTGTTTTCCATTGTCTTCTCGAATTTCCATTGTCTGAAAATCGTTCGTACGGCGTTCGTAGCCGTTCGTAATGGCATTTATGACCAAAGCTTAATTTGGATCTTCAAAATTACATTTCCATGGTATTTCCCCCAACCTAGACTACGTTTCCTCTATTTTCTTAAAGAAGAAAATAGACTAGAAATTTAATTCGTCACGAAGACGAATAAGGTGGTCTGTCTTCATGTCTGATGGTAGATTATACATTTTACTATATTGAGAAAGGTAGAAGTTATATAGACATGTAAAGAATGATGATGATGATGATGATGATCTTGATAGTAATGGTGATGACGATGATGACGATAATGATAATGTTAATGATATTCATGATCATGAGCATGATCTTGACATCTTATAAAAAAAAATGAGGGGTGATTTAGATAGCAAATAGTATCAGCTACAACATACTAAAATTTGGGAAAAAACTGTAGAATAAAAACCGAGATACTGGTCAAAACACATCGTCATGCAGATTCATGTTTTGAAAAAAGTGACCTCCCATAGACATAACACGCAAATATGACAAATTATGCATTGTCGCATTTAATCGAATATTAAACTATGATGACGTCATCTAAATGAAAATAAATGACATATTTCTGATAGAGATCTATCTCAGCTACAACATATCAAAATCTGGGAGAAAATCAATCACCGATAAGTGAGATAATCTCAATTAAACAAAGACAAAAATGACGTCATCAACAAAATACATTTTTTTGTGTTTAGATGCCAATATGATGACTTTGTTTCACTTTGTACGAGTCAGGGTGGTATGAAATCATATCTACAACTCATGCTCTTTCCAACCATGATATCAAACTTGGGGGTCGACGGACTATCTAAAGAGCTATTTCGATTTTTAAAATGGGATGTTTTTGCCCATATATGCTATGTATTACAAGAGCTCGCACGCACGGACATTATCTTAAACGGACGCTCATTCCGTTATTAATGGGCGGAAAAAGGTGAACAATGTATCAAAATGCTTGAAAGAATGTGTCAGATATGATGACGGAAAAAAATTGGCGATTTCATTTTGCCAAATGCCAGGACACGCGAAAACGCGCGCCCATGCGCGTGTGCGCGTTTTTTTGCAAAATGCTTAAAATGGCCTGAAATGTATGCAAAATGAATTTGAGACGATTTGAAGCATTTTTATTTTTTGCGCGCGCGCTAACGCGCGGACGTACGCATTCGCGCGCATTTTCTGACCTGAAACTGACCGGACGGATATTGACCCTAATCATGATAAATATAAATGAGAAATGCCTTTCCGTTATGAAGATATGATCATGAGTAAAAAGTACCAAAAAAAAAACAAAATGGCGCCTGGATGACGTCATGAAGACTTGATGACCATGAAAATGTTCCTGTCACGTCTAATATGACAATGACCTATGACTGTGCCAAAATTGAACGAAATTGACTAAACTGATCGTGAGTTATCGTCCGAACAAAAAAGTGGGAACAATAAATAAAAATAAAGAATAAATAAATAAATAAAGAAGAAAGAAAATTCTGACGAAAACAATAGGTGATCTGTCGGAAACGACAGACCACCTAAATATTAACAAAACAAAACATAAATACATTTATATTTTTTAGATTTAGGACTTATAACAAAAGATAGATGAAAAATATACAGATTTGAACAAGATATGTTGTCTTCTATGCTGTGTTTTCACTATTTTGCGTCTATTTTTAGACAATTTTATTTTGACTATGGTTGCGCCACAGGCTTGATAAGCACGGGAACGCCTCGTGTAAACATACAGGCCCGAATTCACAAAGGAGCTTTTGTTTTGACAAACCTCCTTTTGTTTTTTACAAACCAAGGTTTGTAAAAACGCGTCGAAACGCGTCGTATGACGCACATAAACCTCGGTTTGTCGACAAACCTCATTTGTGAATTCGGGCCATATTGTCTATTGTTATCTGTCTTCTCTCTCTCTCTTTATATATAGGTCCAAATGCTTCATTGCATCAAGCAGTGCGAGACGGTCGGTGGTGAAAGTCAATTCTGTGACGCCTTGAAGGTCACCAATGATCTCAAGGAGTCCGATCCCGAGTTTTACAACACACTCACACGGGTCAAAGTTGACATCCGGTTGCGAGGCAAGGACTACATCCCATACCACTTCCAGTACGCCCGACCAATCATCGAGTAAGTCGATCAGGGCAGCGTTTCATGAAACCGTCATAAGTACAAGTTCACCGACATCCCATTAAAACGCGTGTTAAACTTAATACACGCATTTCAATGGGATATGGGTGAACTTGTACTTATGACGGTTTCGTGAGACGCTGCCCTGTTTCTTAAGAGCATAGGAATGTGCCCTCTGATGGAATTCGACACCATCCGGATGTTTACCCTATATCTGATGTTGTCATTCACCGGGATTAGCCTTCAGTTTTATGACCAACAGGCATTGTGCAATGCTGCACCTTTTCCTTCCCCGAAGACTCTCCGAGAAACTTGGGGGTGTTTCTTGATAGGGTTTGCTATGTGCAGACTTGTGCACCCATGAATGGTATTCCCACCAAGTCTGTTGTCAGCGAGTTATGGCCTTCTGCACATTGAAACTGACTACCCACCCCCTTCGATAAATCAAGATTTTAATGTTATTTTAACGGCATTTTGCATGACCTGTGGAAAAATGAAATCAATATAGTATATTACGTAACCCAATCATCATACCCATCGCATGTACAGTAGGTTGATGATACTGCCTTTGATTTGATTTCTCGAAAGTCTTTGCATTTATGTTGAAACAATCACTTCTAAGGTCAGTAGAGGTCAGATTCATGGTTGACAATAGACTACATTGTGTTGCTTTTAGTTCTGTTCTTGTGGGAGTGTTTCTTTACTTTATTCTGGTCGTGTATTGTTATTACTTTTTCATTATAGGCTTGATGACGAAGGCAAATTTAAAGCGATAACGCATAACAATGGAGTGAGGGCGCCCTACATGAACTTGCCTGTAGCAGATGTCAAGAGCTGGTACAAAAGTCTGTCTTGCTTGGATGGAAAGTTGAACGCCAAAGAAAACATGATACAGTTCAAGCTCAAAGAAGGTAACCAAATCATTTTAGAATTCCAGTCTTTCTTTGGATATTCACCTTATAAATTAAAGAATACGATGTTTGTTGTTGGTGTTGTTGTTTTTGTTGTTGCTGTTGTTGTTCCTTTCTCTGTTCTCTTTTTTCATGAATGAATAGATCCAAATGTATAAATTATTCTTGTTTTTTAAAATATTAATTAACTCCTACTTTTACTTTTATTTCTTCTGCTTTTTCTAACATTTTGTTTCCTTCTAAAAAAACTCTGAACTTAGAGCATTTCGTTGTTTATTTCATTTTCCGTTCATCACCATTGCCATACATTTGTTTCTCACTATTTTCACATTTTTTTCTTCTCTCTTTACCTCTTCAGAGGGACTTATTATTCCATTTCAAAATACATACAACTGTATAGACTATTTTCACAGTTGCTCCATACCATCCTGCAGAGGTGTGATGGTCTCCACGATAAGTGACCGGTCTAGTACAAGTTAAAGATGAAGCTCATTTATTTTTCCCACATCTCTTCTATTGAATACCTAGCAAAATTATTCACAAAACATTACAATATGATATACTCAAATCTAAATATCAAATACACAAAGTAAAATTGCAAAGCATACTCTTTAATGATAGCCTAACATGAGAAAGTAACATATACCCCATCCAAAATTACAATGAAATTAATCGAAAACGTTAATAAACCGGGTTCTTTGTAACTTAAAGGCCGTCTGTATTAGTTTGGCGAGGGGGATTTCCTCCCTGCAAGATCATTGACAGGCGGTTATCTCATCAAATCAGCTCTCAATTAACATAAGAAAAAGAGGATCATGGGGGACCAACAGGCACCGATTAGGCATTGTTTGCTATATAGAGGGCGCAAGTAGCTATAATCAGTGCAGTGGGGCTTTAAAGCAGTGTAGCATTCCTCAATTGTAATGCTTTTTCAATCATTTCTTCTTGTCTACTGCCAGGTGACGTAGTGACATTCAACAATAACCGCGTGATGCACGGTCGGAGTAGCTTCCAGCTGGCTCAGGATCAAGACGAAGGCAAGAAAACCCGCCATCTTGCAGGAGGTTACTTGAGCTGGGACGTCATCAATTCAAGTATCAGACTTCTGGACGAAGAGCTTGATGATATCGCCATCCTCTAGAAAACGAGCTTGATCAAATGGAGAACTAATTACAATCCAGTTGCTTTACGCATCTTTGGTCCTGCTACCGTAGCGGTCAATGGGACCAAAATCCTAAGGGACTAATCGGACACGAGAAGAAAAAAAATAGCACATGTGCTAATCGAGTCTGACTCTCGTTATCTACAGCCTAAAATAACGTTCATAGAAAAATACACGATGGGTTTCCAAATCCTATAAATAAGATTTGTGTGTAATATTACAATTATAAAAACGAGACTTGTTGCTATATTATTGACAACTATAAACTTACAAGGTTATAATTTGTGGTTTTCTCCTAAGAGTAATTTTAAGAGTTTTTGTTAACGAAAAGAGGTTCTTGATCAATTCTTGGATCAGTGGGAAGTATATACATGAAGATATGAGTATCACCCTGTTATGAAATATTCATATCTGTATTACGTGCCGGCAACTTTCAAAATGTTATGCTGCTTAATAAACTGAAATAAACCTAACCCTCAACATGATAGAATAGTTGTCACGTAACCGGGAGGTTTGGGGTTCGAAACATAGTCGATGCGCTAGTGCCCTTTGGTAAGGCATTTATCTTTATTACCAAGTCCCTCAGAGAGGATTTAAAGCCGTTGGTCCCCTGGTTGCTTCCTGACAAGTATATGCACATGCTTTCATAACAGTCAGGTAAAACAAACCAATCGACCAATCAATCAACCAAATTGATACTGTGCCTGTGGGGAGTTATTTTGGTAAAGTTTGAACTATATTGTAACAGAATGATCGTGGCTGAATAAAAAATCAATTGTAGCGTCTTTCGAAAACTTTAAAGGAATGGTTATGTCTGTTTATGTATGTGAACTACTTTCGAAAAATCAATTTAAGGCAATTTCAATGACCTTGTATATCACCTTCGAAATGTACAAGCATGAAAATGACATATTACGTAATCCGCACACGATTTCCATGGGACATATACAACATGGTATAGAAATGGCAGCAGAGTAGATTGTTGCGATCGTGTGGGTGGTATAATTATTTTTGTTCTTTTTCAATTTGTGTATGTTCTCTCTTATTCTTGTTATTCTTTTGTGTACAATACACATGCTTATAATGTGATTTAATTTTTTTGAACTATAAAGTGCCTTGAAGTTTTAATTTGAAATGGATTTGGCGCCTTATAAATCTTATCATTAAATATTATGATTTCATACGTTCATTTTATACGTTCATTTTATACAAAATGTACAAGGCGTTAAAAAAATATGTTAGTAATATTATCAATATCTACGCCAGATGGTGTTTTTAGTGCATACACGTAGAAATTACAATGTATTTCTGATTGTGTCACATTAAATGTGTCATATCTAACAGATTTATTTTGTTATACTGCATTATAATGTAATATCATTTTGTATATGTAATGATTGATTCTATCTCTGATATTGTAACTATCGAATATTAATAAGGTTATCCTATGCATTCTATGTACGAAGGGCATTGAGGAAGAACTGCATTGAAGCTGATGGGGCTTCCCTGTGGACAAAAACTATTATTTGGCCTATTAATCGACTCAATAAGATATATTTTGTATGTGATATTTTATACTTGAAATGACATATATATATATATATATCATTGGCATAATGTTTACTATTTCACAATAAATGTGAACTGAAAGTTAAAGTTCATTTTCGATCCAAGGTTTTTTTTGTCACTGTAGAAATTTATTTTTTAGGATATGATCGCAAAGACTTTCGGAAAATTGATCTACGGCTATTGCAATAGCTATTCAAATTCGTTTAGAATAGAGGGCCATGATAGCACAAATCCCCGAAAATGCAATCACCTCCAATAGCCTAGGCCCTACCAAAATTCGTGCAAGTAAGAGGGAGAGAGAGAGAGAGAGAGAGATGAAATTAGGGAGGATGATGAAGAAGAACAAGAAGAAGGGAGAGAGAGAGAGAGGAGAGAGAGAGAGAGAGAGGGATAGATGGTGATTAACCACCCCGGCTCTCCACTCCGAGAACGGAGGGATACCATGCGTGTTACCAAAATGTCCGGTAAGGGGTACTTTCGTGCGACAAAGTCTGGCCCGACAATTGTAAAAAAAAGTGGGTGTATTTGCCTTTTTTCCCGGAGATTTCTTTAAAAAGGGGGCGTTTTTTTTTAAATCTCATCTCTTTGGACTCCTGAGAAATTATTCCGAATTTAGGGGGGTACATTGAGCATTTTTCCAGATTTAAGGGGGTCTCCAAGGCAGGAAAAGCCCGCAAAAAGCCCGCGAAAATGTTCGGGAATGTTGGCAGTCCTCAAATAAGGGGTGCATTCAAAAAGAGGGAACAAGCAAACGCGTACCCTAAATAACACTGAGTGGGGGGGGGGGGGGCGGGTTAACCACACGGTAGGACCATGTGGAGCTCCATTTGACCAAACGTGGATAGAATGTTAGCGCCATCTGGAGACCAGTTTATTCTAGTTGTCGCTGAAATTTCTGAGTATCACTATTATTATCAATAATAGAAAGGAATATAAATCCACTCTTATAAGTTCAGAGTCAGAGAGAGAGGGAAGAGAGAGAGAGAGAGAAAAAATAGGGAAAACGATGAAGAAGAAGGGAGAACAGGAAGGAGGTAGATAGACAGAGAGGGAGAGAGAGAGAGAGACAGAGAGAGGGGGATCACCTCAATCACCTCAAATAGCCTAAGCCCTACAAACATTCGGGCAAGTAAGAGAGAGAGAGAGAGAGAGAGAGAGGGGGGGGGGGGGGGGGGGAGAGGGAGGGAGGGAGAGAGAGAGAGAGAGAGAGAGAGAGAGGAGAGAGAGAGAGAGAGAGAGAACATTCCAACATAATGGTTTGAATCACTGACTCGAGAATAGATTCAACTATATAATTGTTTGGTGTTTATGATTGTGATCCCCAATGAAATGAACTAATTTCCACTCCGATTCATATAGAGGATACTGTTTTATATTGTTTTTTGGTCTTCCGTTTTAAAGATCTATTGAATCGCTATGATCATTGTATTAATGAGAAAAGAAAGGCCACTAGTGCCCTGAAGATAGTGCAAGTTAAAGCCCACATGACCAACATTGTATGTCCCATAAGGCTGTCGTTCTTTAGTGAACCCTGTAAACAGTCAGAAGGCCCACGAGACCGACACCTGGGGGTGTTTCACAAAGATCCTAAGTTGAAGTAAACTCTCTGTTGGACTTTAACTTTATGGAGAGCCATTTTTAGCCTTAAAATAAAATATGTTCACAAGCGAAAATTCTAGTATTTTAGCACATTAAATCTCCTTGATAGTAGAAAATATGAATGATTTGAATCAACATTTGATGCCTTTTAAAATAACTGTTACCAAATATTTGTATAGATGGTAACGGTTTTCCATAATTCCTAAGTCCAACTTAGAAATAAGTTCAACTTAGGATCTTTGTGAAACATCCCCCTGGTGACCCTCTTTAACCCTCTCCAGATTACTCTGTCCCGCGTACACCTCTTTTAATGACTTCGCATGCTTTGGTTACACCTGCTGTCCACCTAGTCTTTGTTTCAGAGCCAGATACCCCATTCAACAGCTTGGTTGTAGCTCATCGAGCACCGATCTGGGCCCTGTTTAATAAAACTTGTTATCAATAAGAAGTTACAAGCTACTGAAATCATGGCATCTGATTGGCTGAGAGCAAATTTGTCATAGAAATGTAGCAGTTGTTATAGATAACAAGTTTTATGAAACAGGCCCCTGTTTGTTCTTGTGGGTGTCCTCTCTGCTCCAACACCACATTTCAAATGAGTTTAATTTCCTTCTCTCTGTTTTTTGTTTTTATGTTTGCTGTCCAGCATTCACTTCTATACAGCACCACGGGGAAGACTAATTAATATATAATCCTCATCTTTGTTGTATTGCTTTAATACATCAGGTGTTGAATAACCCGACGATATTATTAGTTCTAAATCCAGCGGTCGTTGGTTTTATGAGCATTTTTTAAAAAATATTTATATTGTAAAGAGCTATTGGAATATGTTATCCCTATCTAAAAGTCGATGGCACAGTGGGAGTGAAAATCGATTGGGGGATCTCGATGTGACATGCCCACTCAGGCTATAAGATACTTACAAATCGGTCCTCAGACCACATATCGACTGGACCTGAAGCCTTAAAAGTGAGCGGCACATGGTGAAAATTCCCATATAAAGTCCAGTCCTCCACTGCAGATCATTCTTTAATAAGGAAACACAATTGCATTAAAATGATACCGTCGAGCCCCCCCCCCCCCCCCCTCCACTCCATTCCCTTTCTGGCTCCCTTCTTCCTTTGTCTTGAAATATTTAAAACATTTCTCAAATGACGAGGTTCTTTCAAAAGCACCGCTCATCTGTCAATAGCAGAATCATTCATTCCGTTCCCCTTTTCTTTCGACCCCGTGTACTTACTATCAAATAAATTGTTTCATTATTATTATTATTATTATAACATAACCAGGATGAAGAAAAAAAATCGTAAGCTGAATGATTTCGTCAATTCGTTCCCACGGTGTATCATTTAGTATTTACACGTGCAGACAATAGCGTTGATCATTGTATGGAATTTATGACTGTTGTTGGAATGTTTTCGACATGTTTGCATTCAAATTTGCCACGGTGGGTGACTAAACGTGCCGACTGTAATGAATGGCACATTAATCTAATTTATTCATGTGTGCAGATTGTGAAGTGTCCCCCATACATGTTACCGATAAACATAACTGAAAATCTAAAATTAGCCTGTGACGGATCCGGGATTTTATTAAAGAACGAAAAGTAAAATACCTAGAAGAAAAATAGATGATGATATGATGATGATGTTAATGATGACGTCTTGTATTGTATTGTATTGTATTTATCTATTCACGGTACAAATTCACAATCAACTAGATAGAGTGCTTTTCAGCGATCGGGTCCGTGCACATTGTTAACAGACAAGTAAAATTAACACAACCACATTGACAAACAAATACAGAAAGAAGAACAATTCTGTAAACAGTTTTTCTTTTTTTGATGATTCAAATTATACTCATCAAATTATCTAGAATAGCGCCGGTGTCCGCCTCGTGTCTCACAAGTTCAACGTTCTTGGTCAGTGTTACAAACCAAGATTATTTTCATTGATTCGTCTTTTTTGGACAGACATTGGATTGCCCATTAGTTGGACATATTATTATCATCATGTCGGGCAATTATTACTCCTTATTTTCTTTGTTTACAGTGCAGCTGCAAATTGCAAATCAAAATGACTTCATATCTCATTCACTTCATTCTTTCGCTTTAGCAAGTGCCAGTGTACTTTGACATGCCACTAAACGAAGTATGACGACTATACAATCAAAGGAAATAATCAGATTCTCTCCTAAAATTAACACACCTTGCAGTTTGTAAAGACCCCCAAACGTGATTATGAAAGATGGGTTTAAAATACCGTTCCGCAAAGCTTCCATTGTTTCCCTTATGCTCAGGGGAAAAGACAGATAGCGCTGTATTTGTATACAAATCAAGATCGATAATAACCCCCAAGGCTGTTAATATCATGATTGTTGCAATATTTGTAGTATTGTGGTTAATTTTCATTAGCAGACCATGAAATCTCTTTTAAATTGAGGTATTCCAACTATGAGTATAACACGCGTCTGTCGGCGAGACACCCTAAATCTTATTTATAAATATGACAGAGATGAGTTTTATTGAATAGTACGAAACCTTACTTCTTTGACCAAATCTCGCATTTTTGACCCAATTTGTTTTATGTAACTAGGTGGTAGGGGCGTACGCCATACAAACATTACTCCGTGTTAACCCAATACAAAATATGAATATATAACACAGATAATTGGTCTTCACTGACATAATACACATTATAAATAATACCATCTATATAACAATATGACAGTTTCAGCACATGCACCATATCAAACAAACAGAAAGACAGCGAAACAAGGGTGAAGAAGAGAGAGAAAGAAAGAGAGAGAGAGAGAGAGAAAGAGAGAGAGAGAAAGAGAGAGAGAAAGAGAGAGAGAGAGAGAGAGAAAGAGAGAGAGAGAGAGAGAGAGAGATCAAACTGTGCTGGTGGATAAACTGTATTCCAGAGGCTGCACTAATTTTAATTTCATTTATTTCATAAACACCAATTTGGTAACTATATACAGCTAATCATTACAATCTATAACAATAAAGTGCTGTATGAATTCATACCAGTACCGCCCGTCATAATTTTCTCTCGTTGCATATGGTTCCCTGTTTGTAGTAATTTTCCAGCAAAAGGTATATTTTGATTATTAAGACCTCTCTTATTTCCCTTTTGTCGCAGAGCAGTAGAAATTGTCTGTATACATCCTATTTTTATCTTCCCGCTTGAGTGGTAGCCTTGTCTCCGGGCGTAAGCAGCTGTCCCTGTCAGTTTGCAGTTTGGAAAACAAAGACACAATTCATATCAAATATTTAGGGCTGTTTCATTGCCGTTGACTAGAAACTTGGACAATAGCTGCCAGTGGAGAGATTTGTGTCGATAATTGCGAGGTTAGCGCATTGTCATTGTTATGGAAATCAGAAATGCCTACAGTTTATGAATTAACACGATTCACAATGTCACTTCAACTGATTTTATACAAGAAGTTATTCTAGAAAAAAAAGAGACCGAGTGGATTGTAATGTAAA